AAAAATTTACATTGAAAGATATGTCACAGAAGGCCAAAGGAAAACTCTTAAAGAGGACCCCCCACTTCAGACTTTCTCTTGAGAACCAAATATCATAATTTTTGCTTGTTTCTGGGCAAATGTTCCAAAGGACGGTAAATAACTCTGCCTTCTGAAATGGACTCCTATCTTGAAAATGTGAGTGCAAGAGCACCTGCATGATGGTGTGGCCATCCTGCTTGGAGCAATATGATCTTTTGTTGATTTTTTTAAGGAAGTTAAAGTCTGTCTCACCCTTTGGAACGGTACCCATATGGCCGTATGATCTTCTGCCACAAAGTATCCAGAACTAAGGAAAACACCACAAATCATTTAGTCGAGAGGCCAATGTTCTTACAAAGTAAATCACTGATCCCCAACCGTCCCTCATGAATAGATCTAGAAACCAATTCCCGCTTCACTAAATGATACCTACTACCCTCCTTTACAATCTCCTTTAAAAAAATCATACAGACTTTTTGAGCTTGGGAGCTATGAAAAAAGGAAGTTTAAGATGTGAGAGCTAATTATTTGGCATCTTGATCAGGAGAGATTGGACAATGTGAGCTTCTGCTATTTGTAAAAGTATGCTTTCTTCAAGCTCTAGGATGCAGGAAATTTTCTGAACTTTAATGATCACAGGTTCTGTAGAAGGAAGCCATGTGGGATAATAACCCAAAGAGAGACTGAAATAAGGAGAAGATAAATGTGAGACTTAACACCCAACCGACCCCGTGCATCTAGAAATTTTTGAGTCATTATAGTTAATCTCAGCCATGTAACACTTAAACTGCATTAATTCTTGAATTGAAAATTTCTTAAAAAAGAACAAGAATCTGTTAGCAAAAGTAATCCTCATTTTTCGTTAAAAGAAAATTTGTTGTTTGAAATTGAAGGTGAACTTAATATTTGCTTGTCATAATACCCTCAAATTTTTAACAAAATTTGCCAAGATCCGAGTGATCATTAGTGTTTCCAAATTTTTTAAAATTGAAGAATCATTCCATATTGATTGGAAGCTCCACAATGTTTCAATGGTCTTGTTTTGGCAACAAGAATCCATGTTTGTCTTTCATCTACAAAGGTAGCATTTAAAGTTGAATTAGGTGGATGGCCACATCCTCGTTATCTTAGCTAATGTCACTGAACAAATAGATTATAATCTTTTACTCTAAAAATTTTATGATCTTGAACTGTCTAAATAATTTATCTTGAGTACCTTCCAACTGTCTTGAAGAGAGAGCCAATCAGAAATAATCAAAGCTCGAGTACTACATACCTCAAACAAATGCCACTTTGTTGGTTTCTTTGAGGGAGAAAAGTCTACAAATGAGCAGAAGAGGGAGAACAACCTAGAGGCCATGGGTAGAGGGATCCTGGCCAAGGAAAGCTAAACAAGAAAAGGCTTCCAATCGTTTACATTTTACAATCATGGGATTGGAAGACTGTAATTACAAATCTTGTTGCAATAGAGTAGTTTGAATAGAAAAATAGTTAAACAACTTTTCATTTTGGATCATAAAAGGTTTAAAGGAAGTAATGGTATATTTCAACCCATCAAGAAATTGATGTCATTGCAATGCCTTGTAGAAAAGGGTTTGAGAGAATCCCGAAACAAAATAAATATTTTAAAAAAATTATTCAACATCTTATACAAGCATAAATTTATTTTCAATTATGTTCCCACAATTACTTGCTTAGAAAAGTTGGATGCTCTCATATATTCTTTTGTTCATCAATTTTGTTTGAAAGAATAAGAAGATTTAACCATCTACTTTTAGGGACAAGAAGTTCCCAACATGTAAAAATAGTTTTGAGTGCCTGTGTCGGGGGCACAAAACCTTACCTATTCGAATGATTTTGTGCCTCCTAGTTGCAGACTGTAAAGATCTGTATACTATTTACTGCATGGGTCACTGTTGCTAATTCTTTCAAGTCACAGATACGGGTTGCCATCATTATGATATGAAATCCCTTTACTGCATGTTTCAGTGTTGTTAGTTTACTTAGTTATTTTTTGTTATGATGAGTGATTTCTCCATGTTTTGTTCGATCAAAAGCTAAATGATTCCTGTCTGTAAGGACCACTTTTTACATTTTTGTGTTTCTGGTGTTTTATTACGATTAGAGAACAATAGCCCTTGAACTGTGATTGGTTGGTTCTGTTCATTTATCTTTCCTATTCATGTTGACCAGACTGCTGTTGAGATGACTTGTACGGAAACTGAAATGTTCTGTTCTAATTGATGTTTTAGAAATATTGCTAAACTTGAAAACTTGAAAATTAGATAATTGATCTTGTTCAACTTCATATTGTATAAAAAAGAAATAGTGCTAAACTTGAAAATAAGATATATATATATATATATGTTGATCTTTCTGACTAAACATCTCAATGATCTCACCTCTTCACAATAAAAACTATATATCTCTTTTTTTTTACAACATTTATGATGGACATATAATTTTTGGTTATTTGCTGTGACATATTTAATATGTTTGCAGGTTTTATAAAGGTGTGGTTGATTCTTTTGATGCTAAAAAAAAGAAGCACAAGGTTAGATATCACTTATGGAATCTTGGGATTTTCAAAATCTGTTTTACAATGGCATGCATGCATATGGCGCTTATTATTTAATGCGTGCTATATACTCTTGTATATCTATATTCACACGTAATATATACATGTATATATTATATACATATGCATATATTTATAGGTTTTTGGTATTTTACAAGTGTTCTTCTATGCAGGTTTTGTACACGGATGGAGATGAGGAAATACTAAATCTTAAAAATGAAATATGGGAATTTACTCATGATGACTCTGAATCTGAACCGGTAGGAGGTTGTGTGAATTTGCATTTTGTTTGTTAGACCTCTAAGATTCTAACATGTAAATGTTCATGCATATGATTTTGACAGGACGAAGCAGCAGATCTAGCAGCATCAGAACCTGCAGTGGAGACGTATGTACAGCTAACTGTTCTTATTTCCCATTCATTGACATTTTGAATTGACATTTTTGTGAACAGAAAAGGGTATTGCTTAGCCAAGTTTAACTAACTAATTTAGTTTTCAATATAATTTCCAAATTTTGTATACTTTTGGTTTTCCTTTTCGGAAATAGTCTTAACTCTTACGTGTAACGAACTCAAATTCGTGTGCAGAAATAGCCATCTTTACATTTACCAGCATACTAGGTTTAGGTTCGTACATGGTATTTGTTTGTCTCACGAGTTTTGTTAAAAACGTGAAATAGATTCTCTAGGTCCTATTTACAACATCTTCAATTATTCATCAAGTTTTTCCAGTCGATTGGCCATACCAAATTGTTTTAGTTGAAGGTTGTAGATACCAGTTGAGGCATTCTCTTTTGGCATGATTGGCTTCCAATGTGAACCAGTTACTTTCATGATAGATTAAGTTGAAATATGTTACAATCTTTGATGGTTTTGGTTTACTTAATTGGGAATGTATGCAAACTTTTCCATGCAGTCAGATCTGACGTGTGATGTGTAGTCAATGTGCTCGATGGTATAATTGATTTTGCATTGTTTTCTGTTCTGACTTCTTCTAGCTTTATATTGTGGAAATATCTTTATGTTCAAGTCAACAAGGTATGAAACTTGTTTTAGCATGCTAAGAGACTTGAAACTGGATTTTTTTTATTCTTTCCGACCTCTAAGAAGCTGTGATGGTTGCTCTCCTCATGCAACTGTTTTTTGTGAATCATGAATATATAATGATCATGAAATTGTAGGAATTCTCTCCTGGATTTGTGTGGATAGGACTGTTGGCATTAGATATTGTTTATGTTGAGTCTGTTATTTTCGTTGCAGACCTCAGAAGAAAAAGGCAAAACAAAATGCTGGCAACGAGTCTGCTAAGCGAGGAAAGATGGATACTTCACCCAAAAAGTTAGTTTTATTTTCATAACTTTCCACACTATTAATAATGGTTCGAGAATGTTTAAATTTCAAATTCTATTCTAGGGGTGGAGCAACTTCGTCTGGCAAATCCAAGGGTGCAGCTACGAAATCTGATCGAAGCGGTGGCCGCAAAGTTGAAAGCAAATCAAAAGAGAATCCCCCGAAGGTTGGAAGACCAAGTACAACTGTTTCAGGTAGCAAATCCAAGGATCAAACCACTCCTAAAAATAGTGGCAAGACTGGCAGTGCAGGTCCGAAAACTGCTGGCAAGTTGAGGAACGATGATGCTGAATCACACAAGACTGGCAAATCGAAGGATGACGAGACATCTACACCTGCTGCTTCTGCTAAGTCCAAGCAAGACACACTGAAGACGGGGAAGTCCAAACAAGAGTCTCCAAAGCCTCCTGCAATTGCAAAGGGCAAGTCTCCCAAAACAGGCGATAAATCTAATAATAATTCCAATCTCTCCACCAAGGTTAAGTTCACATCTTCAAAATCAAAAGAAAGTGGGGATTTGAAGAATTCAGTTGCTTCAGGGAAAACAGCAGAGAATTCAAAGGGCAAGTCGCAAAATTCATCGAATGATCAGGGCAGCGAATCCAAGTCAGGAAAGAAAAGGAGAAGAGAGGCAAAAGGTTGATCACCAGCCACCACGCTCATTCCATAAAAGCTCGGAGTTGTTCATTCTCGCCTCGATCTGCACTACATATTTGCAAATTTCTACAATGAGTTTTTGGCAAACTTGCTGTGGATGTGATCTCATTGGCATATTTTCCAGATTGTCATATATTCTTAGTTAGGTAGGTTAGCAGCAATTATAGGAGTACGATAGTTCCGTTCCCTTGATAGTAGTTTGGCGCAATTCATGTCATCTGTGGGAGGTAATAGTAAGTTAGCTATGTACTACTTGGCTTTGCTGAAACAAAGATTGCCTTATTAGAGAGAAGGAAAAGCCACAGATTTAGAACAGGGCCTTCTTTTAGGCCTTTCTGTCTTATCTGCTGTCTTTTACCCCCTTTTAACTCCCTTGGTGATTTCCTGAGTAATTGTTAACCTAACTTCTGCTATTTGATTAATGGTTATAGAGCATTTGGCTCATAAGTTTAGGTTTTGTATAGCTTATTCAATCATGTGGGTTTATTTCTTTTTTATTACGGACTTTGTTGATCCTATAAATGACCGTTACGTTTTGACAAGACTTGCTTAGTTCTGTTGTCTTTGATTACTTGAATGCAGCATAGAAATCTATCTTCGTTAAATTTAATTTTCTTTATTGTGTCAGCTTTCATAGAGAACCCAGGAAAGGTGGCAGTAATCATGCCTCAGAAATGGCAAACAAAAAATGAAAGAGAAGAGAGAAATAGATGGAAATGATTGAATGGAGTGTAGAATTGTTAATTTTGCAATTTTGGGCAAGTGTCGTACCAGACAGAAATTGGAGGGTTGAATTTGTTTTTACCATTTCTGGGTAAAATTCATGGACCCAACGTTACAGTCCCCACCATCCATCGTCTTCTTGAGCTGTATTTGCAGCTCTGAATTCTGAGCTGTGCGTACTGGCCCTCACCCCTCACCTCACCACTCTTTTTATTTTGTTTTTTCAAAACTTAAATTCAGACCTCATCACCCCCATTTTTGTCCTCTCTCCCAAGTTTAAAGTCTTTCCTCACAGATGAAATCGAAAAATAACTCAACTGATTAAGACATCTATCTCTAACCTTAACCAAAGTATTGCGAGTTCGAATTCTAAGTCCTACATATCATACTCCAAAAAAAAAATTCATTTCTCAATAATCCAATTACTTACCCCTCTATTTTACGAGATTCCCATGTCTTTTAGAATAATAAAAGTTAAATTATAAGTTCCATCCGTGGTCCTTTAAAGATTGTGTGTATTAAGTTGCTTCATGAACTTTTAATTTTGTGCCTAAGTAGGGGTGTTCAAAAACCTGACAACCCGATGAACCCGACGAACCCAACCCGAACCGTAAAAGTTGGATTGGGTTAGATGAAGCCCCGGGTTGTGTTGTGTAGTGATTTTCCCAACCTGGTCGGGTTGTTGATTCTCGAGTTCAACCTTTAAAAAATCGGGTCAATCAAACCTAACACAACTCGAATTTACACATATATGTATACTTTTTTAATTACATAATAATAATAATAATAATAATAATAATAATATATTTATTTATATATTTAGTTTGAATCTTAAGTTTTCGTTGCCACTGTGATAATTAAAAAAAAACACAACCTGACAATCCAAGCCTGACGGTTCCTATATATGGATAACTCGAAAATTCGAGTTGGTCCCAAAACCCACCCAATCAAACTCGTGAACACCCCTATTAATAAGTTTCTGGACATTAAATGGGTAGTAGGTCATTGAACTTTTTGTGTTTAACCTATTAAATATTTTGTATTTAATAGATCTTTGGTCTTTCAATTTTGTCTTGCATTGTATCCTAAATTTTAGAAAATATTGAATAAGTGAGTTCTATTTGACATAAAATTAAAAATTAATTAAACATTTTTTTTAGGGTTGATAGACTTACTAGACACAAATATGAAAGTTGGGCAGAGCAAAATGTTTTTATAACAAGTGGCATAATTCTATATTATTAACAAAATTGATGTGACAATATGTCGAATTAATAAGGACTTGATAGGATTAGCCATTCCAATATGGTAGCATACGCAACTACTTTGGAAATTTTATACCCTTTTATTTGATTAAATCCAATTGCAAATATATAAAAATTAAATATTACAGAAACAACTCAATACTTATTTCAATTAATATTTAGGTCAATTTTCAATTGCGTGAACTAATGGTTGTTTTATAAAGACTGAACATATTCAATATAACCTAAATCTCTAGGGTAATTCTCACTTCCGTTTTTAATTTTTTAAAACGATAATTTCACTCCTAATGGAATAAAAATTCTCCACTAAATTATAAAACAAATGTGCTAGAATCGTTAATAGAAAATTAATTTGCATTTGAATCATTGTTTATCGATATCTAATGAAATTTGTTGATGGTTGGCAGAGTTTCATATCTAAGTAGAATTCAGACTGTATTCAAATATATTCACAAAATAGTAATTTAATGATACACATCAATCTATATGTGTATTTGTTAACAACATTTTTACTTGAAGAATCAAATCGAGAATTTTTTATACATTAAAGTAAAATAGAGAAATTTAAGAGGTTAAAGAAAAAATTGAAAATTATTTTAAAAGATTAGGAACCATTTTATATTTAATAAAAAAAGTTATGAAATATATATTGGCCGACATGACATTTAGTTGAATGTTAGGAATATGGTACTTGCGATTGAATGAATATATGGATGCTGTCCCCAAATATCTATAAACTTTTAACATTTTCGGGTCAAAGTTCATTAAATTTCACAAAGTACAAATTATTATTTTTCAATCAAAGATTCGAACTTTCGATTTTTTGGTCCAACATTTATATATTAAGTAATTGAATTATACTAAAATTAATACAAAGCATAGATTAAATGTTTCCAATAAAAACATCACAAAGATTAGATCAAATCCTAGTTATTCATTTCAATTTTAATCCAAAAGAGCGCAAAGAAAAAGGTTCTATCGTTTTATATTGGTCTTGGTTGGTAAAACCATTATATGCTATATCCATCATGACTCTAATTAAATTACGTTAGGTAGGAGTAAAAATTCGAACTCATGACCTTTTGTTTGGAGATAGATATCTTAACTAGTTGAATTAAATTTTGATTGGTATCAATATTGACACTTAAACATTGTAGAAGTTAAAAATCTTTGCAAAATCTAAGGTATTTTCTCTTGTACTAAAGTTGAAATTATTCTTCGGGTTTAATTTGTTAGAGTCAAAATCATAGAGACATGTCGTCATTTTTTCTTTTTGGAATTAAACTACTCTCGTCGATAGTCAAAATGCAAGGGTACTAGTTAGACACACCATAAGGCTAGACCAGCTATAACGACTTGTTTACATGAGAGCGATGGTCAAAAAAAGTAAAAAAAGCTTAGAATAAGTTTCTAAGAAATTTAAAATTATAAATCAACCTATTAAAACTTCTTTCTCTATAGTTAAAGTACTTTATTCAACTTCCCCCATAGGAATTTCAGACACAAAATATTCCTTTCAACCATTTAAACCTATTAATGTTTTTACTTTAGAAAATATAGAAAGTATGATAAATGAAATTTCAAAACTTATAACTTCATATAACATCCATTTATATATCAAATCAACCTGAGTATAGCAGATCAATTTGTCAAAATATGTATCTCTAATAAATTTGTTCAAACTCCCACCCCACATCCTATCGTATTTAAAAAAAGTTTATACACCAATAAATTTACGATTTTCAATAATCAAATCACAGCGTATAATTTTCCAATGCTATAATATAATATCATTTTGGAACCGATTCCTACTCCACACATTAATTAATCAACTCTTACAAAATGTCAAAACTTTAAAATATTATTATTTACATCGAACAAAAAAATAAAAATAAAAAAGTTGACAATCACCCAAATTAAATATATATAAACAAGCCCTCTACCAAAAAGAATAAATAGGCAATACATTAGCCTCTACCAATTAATTATTAATTACTTGAGAAAGTGGAAGAATAATGACCTTAAATTCTGGGGCATATTTTAACTTTTAATTCAATTAAATTAGCTATTTTCAATTTTGTGATAGAAGAATCCATATCTCTCTATAAAACCAATTGAAATATTTATTAATTGGTAGGTGGCCAACATAAATTATTCCGTTCAATGTATATATATATTCTGTCCCCAATATGTGATGGGAATATTATTGGCAAATTTGTTCCCTCCCCTTTTAGTGTATTTATGTATGTTAAAATATAGGTAATTATATGTTAATATCAACTTAAGTAATTGATATTTATCTCTAATTGAGAGGTCATGAGTTCGAATCCCTCATTTTAAATTATAAATTTTGAAATTCTGTGTCTAATAAACTACGATCTATAAAAAGTGTCTAACAAATCTCTAAACTTTCAATTTTATATTCAGTAGGTTTTGAATTTTAAAAAGTACCTAATAAGTCTCTAAATTTTTAACTTTTTGTCAATTTTGAATTTGCGTATAATAGGATTCTTGACCTGTTAGATATTTTTCAAAAATTAATAGACTTATTAAACGTTAAATTTAAAGATTTTAATATTATTAGACACAAAATTCAATTTTATATCTAATAATTTCATGAATTTAAAAAAACTTTCAAATAAATTAAAGATATATTAAACATCAAATTTGAAAGTCTATATATTTCAAACTTGTTAAGTCAAGAGACTATTTAAATTAAGAAATTAAAATCTTTAAGTTTAAAAAATATATACATGTTTTTCTTTTTGAGTCAAAAGGAATGGTACTCATGAAAGAGACAAAAAAGTTCAAATTGGATGCGAGTTTAAAAGTTCTAAGAATATATTGGATTTATAAGAATGGTAGTGATTTAATGTGACATTTATTATTATTATTTTTTTATAATCAAAATTTTTATGTGCTATATACGTGTTAGTGAATTAACATTTTTCTTTAATTTTTTTTTAAAGAATATCCATTTCCAGGTAGGATTATGTGACTCGTGTCACACGGTGGCAAGAAGATATACCAATCAATCAAGATGGTTCATACGATAAGGACCCAAAATTAATATTTTAATCCATCATTAAGGAATTTAAGATGATCACTTTTGTTCTTTGTTCTTTATTATTATTATTATTATTTTAATCACCCTACCCGACTGATTATTGGCTAGATATATGCTTTTTTTTTTACTATTTTTTTAATCGAGAATCGATTCTAGCCAAACACCCAAACCGATGACAGGAGACTCGACTTAGATACCAAGTGTCGCCACCCATACCGTGCCTCTTGAGACACGAATCTGGGAATTGGATATTAACACCCAACCCCGAATCCCACTCAGCCACACTCGTAAGTGCGGACTAGATATATGTTTTGTTATTTTCAATCTAATTTCAGAAAATTTTTTGGTACTACGTAAGTATGAATACTTATTCCATTTATTGTTTGTTATGTCAACATCATATTAAAAATGATACGAGGTCCACTAACATTAAAAAAAATTATTTATATTATTTATAGAGGCAAAACTATAGTGTGATAAAA